CCCCCCCCCCCCGCCCCTCCCGTTCGCTGACTCGCCGGTGCACAGCAAACCCTCGATCATCATGGAGGCCGCCTACACCCACCGCGGCCCGAAGCCCAGCTCCACCGGTATGCCTCGGCGCACTGCCCGCGTGTCCCTGTCTTTTGTTCTTTCCCTCCTCCTTCCTCTCCCTCTGGTGTGGGGCAGGATGCTGACCGTTGTTTTTCCGTGCTCGTGTGCATATGCAGAGGTCGCTTCGCGGCTCGCCAGTATCGAGGGATCACCGGCATCTGTGTACTTCCGTCAGTCCGGCTCGCCGCGTACGTTCCCTCCGATCCTCTGGCTTCCAGCGCTCTCCATCTAGACCCTCTGACACGGCCGACTCCCTCCCCCCCCCTCTCTCTCTCTCTCTCTCTCTCTCTCTCTCCCCCCGCACGACACAGGCACTGCGTACACCGAGCAGGGGATCCTCTCCTTCGCCCGACGCATCGCACCCAGTCTCACCTCTGGCCAGCGCACGACCACTGCCGCTATCTCGGGGCCGGGTCCGGAGCCATCCCAGACCCCCGGCCAGACCCCCGGCCAGACTTCCACCCAGACCCCGACTGGCGATGCAGCCCCTCCGGCTTCTCCACCCCCGAAGCAGTAGTGTGGCTTTACCATCTCCTGTCTTGGACACTACCTTCCTCACCACCCCGTGCGCGGTCTCGCCGGCGCCGCCACATTCCATGTATAGACAAGATCCTCCCTCCCAGACGCCCTGGTGTGTTTCCCCGGCCTTTCTCTTGGGGCCTGGTCGCCCAACTGCCGGACGGGGATCTCGAGAGAATCAGGGTTAACTCAGCACCATCTTAAATGGGATAGATCACATGAGGGGCGCATGACAGGCAGCGGCCTGACCCGGCGCTCCAGAGCCTCTCGGGGGGAGCATGGGTGTGTGCGTGTGCGTGTGCGTGAGTCTTGCGCTCTCTCGCCCCGAAAGGCGCTTGCCCTTGGCGGCGTGCCTGGCGGGAAGGGGGCCTTCTTCGAGTGCAGATCTTGATCCGGCGTGCACTTCCCGGGTCGGGGAGCACACTTTGGGAGGGCGAGCGTCTTCTCTTCCGGGGCGCGGGGGACGCGCGAGAGGAGGGGCCGAGGGGAGATGTGTTTGTTATTTTCGTTTCCCCCCCCCCCCCCCCGAGGGGGG